GATGCTGCTTGGCCTGCTGTGTTCATCCAGCCCTGCACCTTGTTGTCCCTATCAGCTTTACTGGTTGCATGGTTTTAGAACAAGGCAAAATGTTGCTCACAAATGCATATCAAACACCAATAACAAATGTAAAGTCTGAAACAAATAAATCAGATTCATTTTCTGACTTCCGCACATACACACCAAAATATATACTTTTTTAAATGCAAGTTGTACTATCACATCAAATCTGCAAACACCAGGAGGTTTCCTCATTTTTCAGCCTGGCCCCCAAAATGGAAGTCCCCACAGATTCAACCATTAATGCCATCACTCCACAGCTGGAATACAATGCTGATTAACGAGATGTGATACATAACACGAATCATAAGTTCTTACAGCAAGAATCATACTGTCTTTTTCATAATTGGCAAGCAGTGTTAAACGTCTTCGTGCAGTGAACTATGATGAAATTATTTCTGTCATTTTGGTTAGCAGTGAAAAGGTTTAAGCAGGAACAGGGCAAAATAAAAATCCTTTGAATTCATTAAATTACTGAACTGTTAAACTTGTAACACTAGGTCAAAAGAAAAATATTCTGTGGACAAAAAGATAATAATTTTCACCTCAGGTTTCTGAAATAGATATTTGTGCCATTCAACTGACCACAGACTTGTGCTGGAAATGGACGGACAGAACACAGTACATCAATTCCCTTCAACTTGGGAGCATAAGAATTTAAGAGAACAAAAGACCACTTCAGTCCATCTGGTCAGCCTGTGACAGCACGCAATATCAGAGCTCCTAGACAACGATTCCCTGTACAAAGATATGCAGATTGTAAAGAAATAGTACCATTCTTGCCTGAGTGAATCTGCTAGATTCTTTAATCTTGTTCACCTCATTCTTAAAGGCAAAACTAAAACCAAAGCATATTAGGAGCAACAGAAAATATGAAAAGTAAACGGATTACATTCTTGCGTTGCATTTGTATCATTTCTGCTGGCCCGATACCTACTGAGGTATTACTATACAGAACCGTGGACCCAAAATGTTTCTAGAGGAAAGGACTCTGGAAAACAAATGCTTCAAAATACAAACTGATCATCCTCCAGTAGGAGAGCTTTACTCAAAAAAGCACGAGAACATTACAATGCAATTATGGGTACACTAGAAGGTGCACAAAACAAAAAATGAACCTCAATAATTCACACAACGTATCCATTAGGAGCAGGCCACTGGATCCCTTGAGCCTGTTTGCTATTGATAATATCTGAACTGATTGTGGCCTGTACTTTCTGCTTGCCCCCGATATCCTTAGATTCTTGATCAAGTGATTTCATCTACTTCCACTTTAAAAATACTTAACAATCCTGCTTCCGCTACTCTGTGGAAGAAAATTCCACAAGATAGTCAAACTTCAGAAAACCTTTCCTTATCTCATTTAGGAGGCCGCTTAACCTTAAGGTTTGTCCTTTAAGTGTTAAAACATTTAAATTCCCTAGTTACAGACTCTACCACAGGGAGAATCATTTCAGCAACTACCCTGTTGTCAGAATGTTATGTTTTCAATAAAGATCACCTCACATTCTTCCAAACTCCCACTTGTCCAAACTTTCATGATAATCCCCTTATCCCAGGAATCATGTGAATAGGTCTTCTCTAAACTGCTTCTACTGCAATTGTCATTTCTTTAAAAAAGGAGACCAAATCCATATATAGTACTTTAGAAGTGGTCTCGCCAATGCCCTGTATGACTGCATCAAAACATCCCCATTTTTATATTTGATTCCCTTGCAATAATCAATATTCTACTTTCCTTCCTAATCACTTGCTGTGTTTGCAGACTAACAAATTGGCAGCCCTAGAGCCTACGCATATAGCAAAAGTAGTATTTGAAGATTATACACTTATCCAAGAGGATTAGCTGATAGAAATTAGTGTTAACTGCCACTGTGGGAACATAGAGCAAATTTTACTTCACAACTGAATGTACTAATGGGTGTACAGAGTGGATAAATATTCA